CACCTCAGCAAGTGATCTGACACAAGACATAATTCTGTCCACTGAATCTTCGTCAATTGGCGCTTTCACAAATTGCGATTGTCCTACACGAATGATTGAAATCATGATCAACATGGCCTCGGCGCGCAAGGCATTAGTTCTGGCAGTATCTGATGAGATTTCAGAGTGACGCATGACAAGTTTTGTAAGGGTAGAAGAAAGAACAGAAGCTAAATAATAGTCGCCATCGAGGATAAGTTGACGAAGAGGTGGTTTTTGAGCGGCCTTGACAGCCTCCAATTTGGCTGTGACAGCAGATTGACTTGTAAGGGCACTTTCAGTGGCATAGGTACCGTCTGCAAGGACTCTCCTTGAACCTGTTGGGGCTGCTTTGGAATGTCCATTGGTCTGTTCTAGCTCCTTTGGCTCTTGACCATCCGTTGCTTCATCGAGGAGACGTTGTTCAGAAGCCAGGATAGGGATTTCGCCCAAGCTAGCTCTTATACGCCTCCAAGCATCTCTGATATCATTGGCCTCTAGAGAATATTCTCCAACTATCCAGAGAGCCCCCCTGTACACTTTTCCGGCCCGAACTTCGCTTAGGGTTGACACTAAACGCTCAACTATGGATGGTCGGAGTTTGGGGAATTTCTCGACTACCTCCTTAACAAAGGAGATAACATCAACGGCTGATGTGTTATTGAAATCGGCGATGAAGTCCATGAGGAGATCAACAACGCTTTCAGCGACTTCTGAGAATTTAATTGCGCATTGATGTATAGAGTGAATCAGAAGTTGTCGATACTCAGCGTTCTTCTCGTATTCCTGATCGACAGTCTTCGATAACTCTTTCTTCAAAAGTAGGACAACATCCTCGACGTTCTTGCTAGAAACCATCTCCAAAGCTAGATCCAAAGCCTTCTTTCGTACATCGATGTCGGTGCTTGATAAAACGCGCAAAATCTCCATGGTCAAATCGTCTAGAACTCCCTCATTCTTCTGTCTTAACAAGTCCACCTTATCGAGCACAATCAACTTAACATTGTTGTCGGCCTCCTTGATACTAAGTTCAATAAACTTCGAGGCTGCCGCCTTCACCGCTACCGGGTTATTGGTCAATGCTGTGAGAGACGAAGCAGCTTCGTAAACGACGGTAGAAGCGCCGGCTTCCAAAAGGTCGAAAATGAGTCGCAAGTATCGTGCCTACAGATGTTAGCAATGTTTGGTTCCATGATCGTGGAAATTACCTTATTCTGTGAGTTCTGAACCGCATCCTTTCTAATGAACTCCAGTTCCACAAGTTGTAGCAGCTCGTCTGCATTTGGAATGCCATCAAAGACACTACTGAGATATGCCAAAGCCTTGTCATGGCTGATGCTAACTAATGCAGCAAATGCATTGCGCTTGCAGGTATGATCACTCTCTGTCTCCAAGAATGCGGCTATCAATTCAGGGGCATCTGGGATCAAACTCTCGGAGTGTTGGAAGATAGAAGCCACTGCAAAAACTGCGTTCTTTCGGACATATGCATGACGATGCTCAAGGCATGCTTTGGTTGGGGCGAGACAAGGTTCGATCAGTTCTGATTCGCGGAGCTTGCACAGAAATCGCAATGTGTTTCCTCTGATGTATTCGTTGGGATGTTGAAGATCATTTCTTATACCATTGCTGTGGCACATGTCAATACGAGTATAACGAGTTTCGCAGCTCAGAGTGGTCTTACCAAACCAAGATCATTTCCTGCTTGAGTTTCCCACTGGCATCTAACTTTGGGCATATTTCGTAGTAAAAGTAGAGAAGCTTCTTCAATGGTTTGTACTTCGAAGGCATAACAAATCGAATGATATGCATAAGTAATTGAGGCATTGGATCTCCATTCAGCATAACTGTGAGAATGCGCTTCATAGTTTCGACTTTACTCTCATCTGTCCCTTTCTCCAACTGCGTCCTCAAATCTGACATTGAAGGTACATCTGCTGCGTTGTCCTGATGTACCAAGCTGTACGACTGTTCTAAGAAGGTCGCCATATTGGCTATATTTGTAGCTGCAGAGCTGGAAGGTGTTTATTTCGTTCTTGACTATGTATTAAGGGTGGATTTCTGAATTCGAGGTTGTTTGATATTTTGGACTTGTGGCAGATTGAGAATTGGAAGAATCTCAAGAAGTAGGAATTGTTAGTAGAATTAATAGTAATTTAAGATAATGCGTTGGGAGTTACGCATCGAACATGCGTGTTCTTGGGAATATTATCACGACTGTGTCCAGCTTTCTGGGTGCTGTGTTCGAAAGACTTAGCGTGGCCTGTTTCAGCCTTAGATTGTCAGGCACAAAATTGCATCCCCGCCAGATTCTAGCCTTAAGCTAAATTCATGACCGAGTCTCAGGAAGCTATCAAAAGCTTCAGCCTTCTTTATCAAATAGACAGCAGACAAAACTAAAGGTTTCCGCCATTATGTCTACTCTCAACGAACCCTTTTATATTCGCTACTAGTGAGTTGATATCAATTCTTGAGTCTGAATTTACTAATTTATCTCAATAGTTCTGGTCACCAAGGTCGACATGGACACGAATTTCTTGGTGAGGATTGAGAAGTTGTTTACAATTTGCGCGGATATTAACAATGGATCTAGAATTCGACTTTCGAGTCTTAGGTGATGGAAGAAGCGCATCCGCACGTTATGCCAACAATTCCAACTATCGAAACGATTCATTGATCCGCAAAGAAAGTATGTGGTATATGATGCTATATGGATCTCACTCTGACTTTACGGTTCATAGTGAACATTAGCTCTTTGCTGGTGGAAGAAATCAAGAGGATCATCAAAACAAGTGAGATTATGAAGTAGGCTTCTCAAATCCAGATATCGTGGCACGCGAAGCTTATATCAAAATAGGGAAGACGATAGCAAATGGCCTCAGAAGAACAAAGATGGACGTCAAGAATTGGAAATCAAAATAGGCAGCGAGGTTATCTCCTTCGAGGTATGCATAGTTTTCTCGAGTGCGAGATTGTGTCACTGATCAAAAACTAGACTGCCAAAATCGGATCTCTCGTTGATGTCACAGAATCTCAAGACCCAGAAGGCCTACGGGTATTCTACTATCTTGTACAGGATCTCAAAGCATTGGTATTTTCATTGATAGCATTGCACTTCAAGATCAAGCCCATTTAAACTTTTGATTTCAAGAAAAGTCCAGGGGAAGAAGGAGTTAGGCGTTGATTTATTTGCAAGACAAATGGATACCAATAGAGGAAAAGCCACTTATTTGTCTTCAATGTTAATGACACAAAAATCTACTCAGTTTTTGTCAAAATTTCAAATATATGATATGATAGTGCTGTTGTGCCTGATCAGTCAAAACTGACCAAGCTGGATGTCGACACACAATTCCTTCTGCTTCGTCGAGTTGGATGAGGTAGCCACTTCATGTACGACTTCAGGGATAAATCACATACCAAAACACCATTTTTTATTTCCAGATCAAGGAAACTGTTCATCCATCGGGACCGGGACGAGAAATCGAAGAGTAGTATAAATCAGAGAAATGATCAAACTCTTGAAGCTCGGTTTGCGTCTTTGACATTGATTATAACACAATCTTCAACCTTACATCGTTTTGTATGCCGTTCATCCTGCACATTGCATAATGTTTATCAGATTTGCCAAGTTGACTTGCGTCGGAGTTATCAAAAGAATTATCATTACTCTACATTATGTTATGACTATGCCTGGCATCACTGCATGCATGAAAATCTTTGCCGAATTCCTTACCTGACGAACAACTTCATTCGATTCCAAAGCACCACTTCTCTTGCAACCAAGGAAGCAAGCCCGCAAGATAAACCTACTCCCATCAGATGTATGTGCCAGCAAACCAACACGCACCCGAACTCTGTATTAGAGGGTAAATTGAGGATTGAATCTAATAACTGAACAAGTATTTCCGGGATTCATCCAGACTAGGATCTTCAGATGTGCTGTCGAATCACTAATGATACCGTTGACTCCTTTTCGCCCCTTTGGTTGTTCATGCTTGCAAATACATGTGAATTGCATCTTTATTGGAAGGTACCAAAAGATTGCCGATTCATGAGAGACCACTTCGGCAATGATACATACTAATAATAATGGTATGTGGACCTTTTCAACAGTTCAATCAGATAAATTCCTTCTTTCCGGAGTGACACCAAAGGTCTACAGTGACAGCAGTATAGAAGAAGTCTTCAGGTAACGAGCACCAAATTGAATCACAAAATGATCAATGGGATTGCTCCAGTTACTTCAGAAGTTCAAGTAGAGTATCACCAATACATGCGTTTTGAAGTATAAATAGAAGGTATCGATGAAGATGTGATGGAAGAAATACTACCTACCTAGGTAGTATGTACGAGTATAGAGATGGAGTTCTTCATCACCATCCATCAATTAATCAATTTTGTTCTTTTTTTGGATGCACCTGCGGGGAAAAGCGGAAATCTGGAGCTAAGCCTCATTGGAAATAGCTTAGAACACTCAAGTCACATTTTAGCGTTGTGCGCCAATGACCATGCTAGAGTTGTACTGCCTTTATGATATCTGAACATCTTTTCGTCTTCTCATCCTTTCATCATCTCATCTTCTCGACAATTTCAAGACATTACTTCCATTTAATCTTATCGGTTCTATTCATCTAATCTTATCATCACCACATTATTGTTTTCATATTTCAGCTGTATTGTTAATTTCTCTTTGACAAGCTTGGCTGGTGCCGGCGCGATTCAATGCCCACCCCTTCTTCAAATAACGAGTCCAGAGTTGGAGCTACGATATCGCACACATCGTGCCCCCCTGAAGATGACAGGTCTACTTGGAGCATACCAGAGATGGAAGAAGGTACACTCTATGCCCCGATTCTAGATTCAAGAGCTGCACAACAACCTACACCTCCACCTCATGATTTACGAAGAGTTGATATGACACCGACTTCTCAAACTCATCTGCGAAACACCAAAAGCATGGATATCGATGAAAGAAGTAAATGGAACCCGATATGTTATCTCCTGTCAGTGCGGATGGAGATAAGCAGGATGAAGCTGAGATGCATACCGCCACTAATCCACGAAATCCTTCGCCATCCTTAGGTTACGATTTCTCGAATGTTAGAGTTAGTACAATTGACTTCCTGCTGGCTCCTTTAAACATACTGACAAAATACAGTTGTTACCCATCGTCACCATCTCCAAATTACGACCTGGTAGCAAATTCCATGGCCCAACAAACATCAGAGCGGCAGACCTATGACGTACAGGTCGAAATCAACATGTCGACATGAGAGAATCATTTTTATGTGGATATTTACTGCATTCAAGGTATGCGAGTGTTCAATATGGGCACTAAAATCTTCGTACTAATCGAATATTTTGTCAACAGCCTGACCGAAGACCACCCTACCCTTACGACCTATTTCGAAGGGGAGATAATTGGATCAAAATATTCATTCTTCACACAACACGAAGATTGGGGGTCTACAGATAAAGTCGACTTAACACACTGGGCAAAGTTTCAAGCCTTCCGTCCTTTTCAAAAATCTGCGAAGAAAGGAAACTGCCAAATACCAAATCTAGCACAACGAGATAATATTTTTATGAGATGGAAGGAACACTTCCTCGTTCCTGATCATCGTGTCAGAACAATTAGCGGTGCAAGCTTCGAAGGGTTCTATTACATTTGCTTTAATCAGGTTGAGGGGAAAGTTACTGGAATATATTTTCACGCGAAGAGCGAGAAGTAAGTCCTGGAAGGCCATTGTAAATTATCAACTTTAAATCGGGACATTGATGCTAATACGATTTTTAGATTTCAACAACTAGATTTGAAACATGTTGAGGATAGGGGGTGTTTCCAGGCAGTGGAGTTTAGATGAATCACGAAACCCCGACTATTTAGCTAGCATTTCATGAATCTTCCAGCGCATTTGAATATATCAGGAAGATCTACTTTCCTACGACGGAAAGAGAGCAGGTATACGGAGCACGGTGTTAAGGATTGAGGATATGATTTGGGATACAAGGGTGCGTCCATACAAGTGGAAGGATATTTTGAAGGCTCGATTTACGATTGTCACGGGCAGCATTGGATTATGATAATTACCGATGTCATAAGCGATATATGAAATGGATCGCATACTCGCATGATAATTTGAAGAAGTTATTCTGCAGTACCAACGCGAAAAGTCGGACTCGACTGACTATCAAAATGATGATGATGAGTCGGGGCCAACTGTTGGGCATGGTAGTCTTGAACATTTGAAAATTACCCATCATATGATCTGTCAAGCCAATTGTTGGACTAAACGTGTACATTGATCCTTGGTATTAACCTTCTAACCCGGAAACTTATCATGATGAATTTCAGTCGCCTAGTCCAAGATGGATACATGATCAAATAGTCTCTCGAGCTTCTGTTTTAGTATATAGATTAGGCTCTTTGTTTATCGTGTGATGTGACTTTTGAAACACTTAACAGAGTAATAGACGATGATGCTCAATTGTACCATTCCGATTTCCAATAATAATCCCGGGCGGGGCTCGTAAATTCTCCGCTCTTATTACTGAATTACTGGACCCGCCGGGCTGGCGTGATACTTTGACTCCGCCATTGAAAGTCACCGCGAGAGATATGCATAGATGCCTCAGGCTCAGAACTGATAACAGTTGATGATCCACTATCGAATAATAATAATATCGTAAAGCGTTTATCGCGATAAAACAAACATCTCATTGGGATTCTTCAACAAACCCTTATGAAAAAGAAAACGGAGAGTTTTTCGTTTCAACAAACGAATTCCTCTTTATTTTATGACCTGACCTGTTAACAATAAGTCCCTTCGAAAAGATTTCTGCTATTATAACATCTTCTTTCGCATATCTGATATTCAAAACTTACCTATCACCTACTAATAATATTCTCACATCAACTCGTCGCATTCCAGCAATAAAAGAAGACTTTAAGATGGATTTTGCACCCTATCAAGCTTCCCCAGAAGAAACTCGCGCTCTCTCTCCACCACCACGGAATTCTACCTCTTCTCCTCGTCAAAGTATTTCGCCCATTCGTAGATCCTTCAGTCCCGGAGTTCGCAGTCCAGCATTTCTGCAAAGTACTAGTAATGCTGCGGCGAAAAATGGAAATTTCGCTCCAAGCACTACTCCAAATCCTTGGGCGCAGAGAGAACGAGAGAGAGATGGATATTTTCCGACGGTGAATACTGGAGATGGGTATCAGGATGTGGAGAGCGGGAGGGTTGGAGGGGGTTATAATGTTGGGGGGAGTGTAAGTGGAGGTGCGGGGTATGGTGGGGGAAGTAGAGACGGTTTACATGAGTTTGAAACGAGTCTCCCGTTGCGGTTGGATTATGAGGCTTGTTTGGCTTATTTACTTTTGCCGCCTGCTGGGGGTGTATTGCTCTTGGTTCTGGAGAGGAAGAGTGATTACGTGAGGTTAGTTATGGGAAATGGCTTTTCAATAGGAAGGGAAGGTCTCTATGTCGAGAGGCAGTGTGATGATGGTATGAGACAGTGCTGAACAATGGTGATAGATTTCACGCTTGGCAGTCCGCGTTGCTGTTTACGGCCATGTTTGTCGTACATTTGATGTTTTCCTGGAGTAAGTTCTTCCTTACCCGTCCTCAGACATGCAGAAATTTCTCGAGAGAAGAACAAAACTCCTATGGTTTGAGCATTGGTATTGATGTTAGACTTAGGCCCATCCATGTCATGGTTATTGCTCCTCGGAGACATCAGTTTGATAGTGTGGCTAACTAGGAGAGCATATCTAGATGGTAAGTCTTCTATCTTCCTCTCTCACTCCCTAACTCTATATTTGTTTTATTCACATTGGTAAACATACTCCAATTCCAACTTAACACATCTAATCCCCCAAAACAGCGGACACTCTAGACCGATGCGAAGTCCCAGTCTTTGGAAGACTAGCTAGTAGTATACTAGACGACGAGTAAGAACGATGAGTGAAGACGATAATCGAGGACGACGAATTTATGCGCGAGGTTACGATACCATTTTTCTCTGGGGGCCATTTTTGCTTCATATTCCATAGTTAGCACGAGATACCCTTTGCCCTTGTTGTACAACTCTATTTTTATGTCATCTTTGGAGCGCATACGAGATGGTAATACTTAAGGATATTTATGTACATCCTTACTTAATATCTAATTCACAAGCTTGATGATCTGATTTGGATTCTTTCTGGTGAGTTCGAATGTGTGTTACCAGGCTACAAGTGAAGTTAAGCTATGGAATAGAATGATGGAAATGATTTCAGGAAGTGTGTGTTGGAGGAGAACGTGTGTAAGATGGGGGATGTGCTAGAGTCACAGAGGATATCATTTCAGAGTAGGAGATATGCCAGAGTAAAGGATGTGTCAAAGAGGATGATGTGCAAGAGCAGGATACTAGGTATATGCTGTGATACGGTATGTCCAAGGGAGATAAGTGATCAATAATCTAACGTATGATCTTTCATCTCATCACAACATTACCTACCTAGGTAGATATTGATTGTGCGCCTCAAGCACCTAGAAGATTCTGCAGAAATCAAAGAGGTACCAGGGATGCGCGTCTACCGGGGAATGGGGAGAAGGATAAGGTGAAGAGTGCATAAATGATAGTAATTGTAATATTGCAATAAGATCTCCATTCATGTCTTTGAGCTACATGATGGAATATGGTGAATAGGTGTCGAATTTCATAATGAAGAGGATGTAATGTATGCAAATACTTTCTGTAACGAGAGCGAGGGTTGGAGAATGTGAACTGTATGGTTGATGAGCAGGATACTCCTGCAATTATATATATATATATATATATCATGTAGTGATAATAGTTTAATAAACGGATAAGGATATGGAGGAATACAGAAACATGATGTAGAATTTGTAGAATAGATGTGAATGCTTATGTAGGTTTTAGTAGGTATTTCATAACTATATGGGGTGGTTTGGACAGGATTGGATATGATTGTAATAATCTGAATGAGAAGGAAAGAGGAAAAGAGGTAGGGAGTGAAGAGAGGAGGAGGGATATAAAAGAGGGAGATGAGGATATTGAGGTAGACAATACTGTTGAGTATAGTATAAGAAGGGAGTTGAATGATGACAGAATTTGAATACAAAGGAGTGCTTGTATTAATGACCTTGGAAGTCCACTCGAGACTCAAAGGTATATCTTACTATGAGGTAGAATATATCACAAGGTGGAACATATCGTTGATGTAGTTTTAGTAAAGAAATCGAAAAACTAAGGGGTACTCCTTAACATTAGCTAAAATTCTCTTCTGGAGATAGATCTTGTTCAATTCACCATACAAAACATAGGAAATTTTGAACACAAACAGTCTTGAGTTGAGACTAGCATCTTCATAGATTATTCCACACTTCGAATGTTGGGGAGGTTGATCAAGATCTTCCACCGTCCTACTTGATGTCTGGCGTGTTTTGTAATTACGAAAATGAGATATGCGATATGTAACAAGCGTTTTGGTTGCTGTTAATTTTGTCAATATAGATGTGCAATAAAAGAATACCAATATGGATTTATCATACATGTTATTTACTTGAGAAGATTAATATTAAGGAAGTGGTGTAGACATACCGGTATACGATTATATAATACATGGAGTATATAAAAACTTGATTTGCTTTTACGAATCTATTATTCCCTCTAAGATAGTTCTTGCCTTATAGTTTAATACACATACTGGCTTATAGACCTTTCATTTCTTGTTAAGATATTAGATTAGTGTATTGATTTGTCTCTTGTATATATTTTCGACTCTGCTACATACAACTTTCCCACCCTAGTATATTCTCCATTCTCTCTCACTCCAATCCATATACCATTCCCACTACAGCATATTATCTATTCCTCTTCCAGAATATACTCCTTTCTCCCTTATTCTAGCATATTCTTCATTCTACATCTAGCACATACTCCTTTATCCTTCAAGCATATTCTTCATTCTACCTCTAACACATACTCCTTTCTCCCTCCAGCACATACTCCTCTTCCAATACATTCTCCTTTCCCCCTCCAGCATATTCTTTGTTTCTCTTTCAATGTATACTCCATTCTATCTTTATTATTGGCCATACCTTATCATCCTACCATCATCATAAAACGTTCAATGCCTCAGAACCTCTCTCGTATCAAGGATGACTCAAATTCCTCTCGCTCCCCCGTGCGGAGAACCCGACAGTATTATCAATGTTGATCGTGTTCTCCCCGCCGTTGGTATGTTACTCAAACCCAGGCTCAATTTACCTCCAAGACCGAAGACTGTAGTTGCTCCCAATTCACACTTCGTTGTTGAACCTGAACCTTCCAATGATCTTCCTCTCGCTCCCCCAGGCGGAGGTTTCAAGACACTCGACCACCAACATCTTCTTCACCCCGTCAATCACCAAACCTCCTCCAGAAGTAAGTAGAATAAACCATTCCAATTATATACATACCGTGAAAGAGTGGAAAGTGATAGGATCATAGGCTAAGTAAGCCTTTGCATATACTGTGAAATACATTTTCCTCTTTATTTCCCTAAATATATATCATACCTTTTCACGATTGTCTGAATCCAAATCAAATATCAACCTGTTCTCATTATTTCTAATTGAATAGGACATTGTAAACCAATTTCACCTCAGAAGCTTTCCATTGTTCCAATGGAATAGAACATTTAAAGTGGAATCTTCTGAGAATACATTTCAATATCTCAATTGAAACTTGACAATTAAATACCCTCTCAGATAAGTCAGATATTATAGTATTAGTGTATGATACAACTTATAAGTTAGTTAATCATCAAATAGTAAATCGGTGACTGGGGATCTGATAAAACTACCTAGGTGTGATGACTTTCATGTGTACAAACTTCCTTAACACAAAGCACAATTTTAACAACGAAGCATAAAAGAAATATCCGAATCCAAACACCCTTTGGATATACATCTCTATATCTATCTCATCCTGCTAATTGATCATCTATTCCGAGAATGCATTTCCGAATACAAAGAGACTACTATGAAATATCGTACAAAGTAGATATACCCATCCATATCCATACCTATATATATCACCATTCAATTCACAATCATCTTCATCCCCATTCCCATTCCCACATCCATCTCTTCTCGATCCCTCCATCCCCCATTCCCCCTCCCCTGTGCCCTCCACCCTCTCAACTTTCCAGATACAACACCCTTTCAAAACTCTAAACCAAATTGCTCGTATTCTCTATTCATATTCTCATCCTACCCCACCCACCCCATCACAATAAGTCCCACCCATTCAGAATTCTATTTTTCGCTCCCTCCTTCATCATAACTCACTCACCCACTGCTAGATTAACACTTTTCATTTCTTTCACTGTATATATATCATATTACATGAATCTCCAGTCAAACCTCCAGCTGAATGGATGTATTCAAATGCCGAAGTTGAAGCTGAACCTCTTTCGGTCTCAATTTCGATCTGAGATGAGTAGCCAGTCTTAAATTTAAATTTAACACTTGAGTTAAAGACGGATGCTTAAACTGTGTAACCTTAGGACTTCAGACGAAAACTTTTGGGACAAGCTTCTCATTTTATTATTCCATACAGTTCAGATAAGCATGGTTGAGTATCCATCCACATTGTGATCAGAGATTCAACACTTGCATTCTCCTGATCAACCTCTCATCCTCAAGTGAAAAGCCACTGGGTAAACAAACCATGTCTTTTCAAAGGTATCTTGCGATCACATCGTTTGCAATTCATAGCCGATCAGCTTCAAAGCTTTATTACTGTGTCATCCCTTCGTTGACTATATCCAAAGTTGACAGGAATCTCAATTCCATAGCAATCTGCAAACATGCTAATGATTCCTAATTCTTTTTCAAAAGAAGCTCCAACCAAAAATATAAATTTCAAACAGCCAACCAATCGTCTTGAAGAAAATTAACCTAATGTCTTCCATTTCCAAAACTCCCCTGTGATAAAGAAACGCTGGATATGATTTTTCGACCCCATCCCGTGTTGCTCAAGAGCTCAGTAGATCCTTAACACTCATTCCTCGAACCCCACTAAAGCTCGTACCTCTACGATCTGAATTCAGCATCAATAACGCCGCACTTGCTTCCTCATCTATATCTCTTTGATCTCTTTGCGGTATGAGAGCAGGACTCGTGAGTGCCGATCCTACCGACGCAATGCTTCGAGCATAATCATAGACTGAAGCGCCTAAAGCGGGAGATGTGGTTGATGAGGTACTGATGCTATAATGACGAGAGTCTGTTGAGTACGAGGAATATGAATCCTGTCTTTGACGAGAATCTTGTGGGAGCATGGCGGGCGATGTTTGTTGGGATGGGGGTGTAGGTGTGGTGTAATTGGTAGATGGATTTTCGGAACCAGCCATTTCAATATCTTCTTCTGATTCACGTGTGGAATATTCATGTCGCGATGGATCATAGCTCCCACGATGTGCTGATGGCGGTAACGTAAATTCTCCAGTGCTTGCAGAGAAGTTGCCCCGAGCATTCTCGGCCTTCAGCTTGGAAACACAATCTTCGAGATATCTCACATAATCGATAGATGCCTTTCAGATATTAGCATGTGAAAATTGATAGGATATGTATTTTATGACTCACTTGTAGAATTGCTAACTTGTGCATTTCTCCTGTGCAAGCTGGTATCATGTCTTTCAATACACCAAATTCCTCATTCATTTTAGACCTCCTCCTCCGCTCAATCAAGCTATGTGCAGTTTTCCTTGCAATCTTTCGTCCAGCCACACTCGTTGAGGAGGGTTGCTTCTTCTTGGGCGTATTTGAGGTAGGTTTCCCACCGGACTTCGTATTCTCTGCGGATGTATTCATTATCTCATCACTTTGCCCTCGAGGTTTCATTTGTATAATCTTTCGGGATCGTGTAGGCGGAGGCGGTAGTGCGAAGGAATCTTTCGCAGTGGTTTGTGCAACCGTTCTTCGACGAAGCTTGACAGCTTCACTTGCGGGAATGGCTGGAGAGATTGGGGAAGCAGGTTGATATGAGGAGGCAGATGATGCTTGGGTAGAGGGACTGGTTGGTCGAGATTCCACTCCTGCTACAGCAGGAGGAGGAAGTTCAAATGACATCTGTAGCGAAGAATAATTCGAACCATCTTTTCCCTTAATTTCTGTTGATGAAGCCGGGGTTGGAGGATGAGTTGGGCGAGACATTATAAAATGAGGTATTTAGGTAACTTGACTTGGTCTTGTGCTCAATATAGAAGGTCCTACCGCGTACTATGATAAAATTGACCCTTTTGACTCAAATTGAGGTAAATAATTTCAAGATATGGATAAGAAATGACTGAAATATGGCAAAATGTGAACTCTTGAGAAAGAGGCGCTATGTAAAGAGCTTGAGGGTGGTCAAATGTTAGGAAACATAAGATAATCTCACTCAACTTTGGAGAAATCAAGAGAATTGGAGAATAATGAACGAAGGAGAGAAGAACCAAAGGGATTTGATCTTGCTGTAACACGACCTACATTATATCTTCGAATGATTTCAAAGACTAGCACTTCCGGCAGCTAGAAATGATATCGGAAACAATCTCATATCTTTGCGCAACTTTATCGAAGATCAATTGCGAATTTCACGCCCCTCAAGGACGATATAAATGTCGCGTGCTTCATTCGATTGGTTATGAGGCTTTTATTGATGTTGCTCGGATTATGCTGACCACTGAAATTGCGAGTTGACAAAACGTGGTGGGTTTGGTGAGATGAGTAATAAGACTCAAGGTTAAGATTTAGGTAAATTGGCACGTGCTTGATAACGATTGCTGGTTTGTGCGTAAAACTAGAGTAGAGTAATCTAAGCTCACCGGGAGTGAAGAAACCTTAAAATATGAGATTACGCAAGATCATGCATGCAATACTGGTTTTAATGCCATAGAGACCACACACATATTGACAGAAACCACAATCTCTGCGATTCCCAAAACCAGCCTGGCTCTGTATAGTGGTAGCTTGTCCCTGCACTGAGCGAGAGACCAACTACTTTTAATCTTTTTTGGAATTCGTTCTCTGTTTGAGCATCGGCATTTGGACAAAGCTGCGCGAATACAAACATGCCTGCTGTGGCAGGAATGAATGCGATCCCATTAGCCAAAAGAAAGTTCTTCACCCTCAAATATGCTTTTTGCAAGATTGCACCGTTATGAACCACCACAAAGTCTACGTTGTCCGGTCGCAGAATGCTTCTAGTTGCGAAGAGACTAGCGGCAGAAGAAACCTGGCCGTGAACTGTGAGAGCAGCACCAAGACGAACAGCCACATTGTTTTGACTAATAATTGCACCCTATGTCTCCATATTTGGGATTCGTGGTATGCTTTGGGGAATTAACAAGGGGATAATAAACTCACGAGACGTATTCCACTGCAGCCAAAGTCCTTGCTAAGACTATAGAGAACGTGGACAGAACTTTCATTGTAGTCTATTGACAAAGCCGAGATAAAGTCCTTTTTCTTCTGGAGTAATGCATGATTATTATGGACTGATAGCCCATACACTTCATCGGAGATGTAATGCAAGCCACGGCGATCACACATGGCTAGCAATGCTTGCAATACTTCCTTGGGATAACAACATCCCAATGGATTATGCGGGTTACAGATAAGCATGGCTTTGACGGGAACTAAACTTTCATCCATGGCTTGCTCATAGAATGCAATACTCTCGACTGTGAACAATTTCTCCAGAGGAATATGCACAGGTAGGGCAACAGCATCTTTGTGTACAGATATAGCAAGATCAAGCCCGGACCAGTATGGTGTGGAAATCATTACTGCATCCCCCGGATTGCATAATTGTTCTATCAGGGCACTCAGTGCGCCGCTGGCTCCTGGGGCAAGTACAATTTGGGAATCTTGTACTGAGCTCCTAGGGTTAAATACCTCAGTTGTGTTGATAAGCCCAGCAATAGCTTTTCGAGCTTCTAAATTGCCTCCTATACCTTGATCGTATGAAAGGTCCTATCTATTCAGCATCATAGCATGTACAACTCAATTCGAAGTGGTTATATGAATGGCACTTACACATTCTCTGATCCCTGTTCTGATTTCTCGCAATTCAAAATACGATCTCTGATCAGATAATTTCCTGTAGTCCCAAGATCGATCAAAAAAGGATCATTTCTCATATGCCGATCTAATAAATGCGGAATCAGGGTTTGGTTTCTTGTCTGACACCTTTGAGATGGTAACATAATGGTGTGCAAAATGACAGATTCAAGCGTTGAATTTTTTTTTTGGGGGGGGGGGGGGGGGGGGGGGTGAATCCATCGATGAAAGTTCTAATTCGGACGAGTAAGCGTGTTTGTTTCGGCTAATATATGGCATTCAGTCGCCGATGAGGAAATAGCCAGAAAAATCAGTGCCAGGCTAGCTAACACAATCCAAAGTACTATTTCCGGTATCTACTTCGCTGAGTCAAGATAAGCGTCTTCCGACCTCGACCATCTCTCGCATTGACAATCACCCGCAATTTGCAGTACCAGCCTTTGCAAACATCGAGGAAGCTGTATGAACTGCGTTTACTTTACATTTGTTCATTGTCGATGGCACTCCCGTTATACAAGTCTGTTCGCAGGCTACTTTCGAAATATGTTGCAAGATTACTAGTAAGTAGATCTTGAAGTACAATATGATTGAATAGATTATTGATTGCATTGCAGGATCAGCAAGCCTACCAGGCTAAAGCAAAGAACCTCGTCGACTCAAGCAAAGAGAGCTCGTCTATTGGATATGAGGATACGAGCTCTTCACTTTGGGATGAAGACATCGGCGCTATGCTTTCCTCAATGCTACAAATGGCAGGGTACACCCCCCGTATGAATACCTGCCATCGTGAAGTTTTTGCAAGTTATATAGCGCCATCGCTCGGAATGCACCCCAAGTTACTAGGCTGAAGCGAAGGCTGGAGGAGCTTCATGAAAGATGACTTCACTTCGGTCGAGTTGAGCTGGCGTTGGTCGCCCTCTTCAGACTTACCTTCTGTTCGTTATTCAATAGAGCCTATTGGTTTATGTGCTGGGTCAACCCGCGATCCTTTGAACAATCAAGCAAGTGTTGACCTCATCGCCGAGTTAGAGAAGTGCAGCTCAAATCTATCGCTTGATTGGCATCGTCATTTCAGCAAAACTCTTCTTGTATTTGGGACAGGAGTCCAAGCCTTGGGAAATCGGGACTTCCGAAGTTCCTCACAGTCACCTATCTCAAATATTTAAAAATCCGATATTCCTATATAAAAAGTAATCAAATCAAAAAATTATTCCAGAATATCCAAGATTCTGGTATATCCCAGTCCGATATAGCCAAGTTTTTCTGTAGAGCGATAGCCGGTCTTTGCAACTCCCGAGTCTACAGACATCCTTCACCATCGGCTTATTCTCCCTCGAACGTATGAGAATCCATAAAGATACTCAATAGCCATTCATTCCATATACGTTATACAATATGTGTGTATCAACTATGATTCAGGAAATTTCCCTTCCAACCAAAGATTCCAACGTCTCTAGCAAAATACCAGAAAGAGCAGTGATCTCTGCGGAAGTGACCATATCTATGGCATAACTTATCAAACACACCATTCTCATACTCTCTTCGAAGAACTCTATCATCAAAGGAAACTGTACTCCATCTGACTTTTTAATCACATTGGAAGCTTCGATCTCAGGTATGACAAGATTGCTTTCATGCGAATCTTCCTTCTTGTGAAATATGACCATGACATCGAATAAGTTCTCTGCATCCATTAGAGAGACAAGTTCGCAGTAAGGCACAACATGAGCTAACGCAGATTTATAACTAGTATGGACAGAGTCAACGAAGCTCCTAATATTATGAATGTTTGTGCTGCTGCAATCGATCTTAATTGGAACGCGATCTAGGAAGGTCCCCAAGATATTATGCGTCTCTGCTTCCATTCGATTGCTGTATGGGATACCGAGAACGACGTTATCTACACAAAACAGCTTTGGAATGGCAACTGCACATGCGGCGAGATAATTGCCGGATACGTTATGCGGCGAATGCCTCTCACTCATGTCCAGATACTGCGACGCCCCAGTGGCGATACCAGATGAAAATTGCCAACGTGGAAATAGCTGCGGGAGTGGTTGTAGAAATTCCTCCCAGAATTGTTTCGTTTGGCTATTTGACAGCATCGGAGGGCTTTGGGAGAACCAGCTGATCCAAGAGTTATACGATGGATCTGACTTGCCCAGATCTGATCGAGGCTGTCGGTATTTCATATCGATGTAATCCCGAGATATCTGGGTCAACATGATATTTATAGATCTTTTGTCTGCGATAATATGATGTGATACGATTATCAGAATGGTCTGATCGCATTCCTCCGCTACGACTGATCGAATGAGTTGATCGTTAGACAAGCCGAAAGGCGCATTGATTAAGTTTTCAATGGACAATTCATTGGCCGACTTCAAAATCTTGGTTGGGAGTATATCCTCGGAAACAAATTGTTGTAAATTGCCATTGATAGTTTGATATCGAGTTCTCAACATGTAATTAGTGGAGATGAGAGTATTTACAGCTTTAGCGAGAAGCGTGAGGTCCAGATTCCCCGCAGCGCAAGTTTGCACACTATATTGAAGCTCGAAGAAGATGGTAAATTGGCCTGGAGGCTGTGTATCTCCTGTTCCAAATAAGAGACAGCTCTATGTGGAGCTAAAAGCTTCCCATCAAAGGCACGAAATGCGCGCCTCCGATCATGTGTGCAATACTGCTCAAGCGTCGCAGCCAGACTTGAGAGTGTCGTGTTACAGATCAGAAGCTGTAATGGTATATTGCAGGCCAATATATCTGACAGCTTCTGTAATGCTTTGATTTGCATTAAAGAATTGCCGCCAAGCATTGAAAAATCGTCATCTGCCCCAATCTCAACGAAATCGCTCAGATTGAGAATTTCTTTCCAAATCCTCTCGATCAACTTTTCCATTATAGTGCTAGCCCTTTCTCCACTTAATTGGTGTCCATTCGATACAATCAGGTCCCGGAGAACTTTTCTGTTGATTTTTAGATTCGGACTAAGTGGTAAGCGGTCCATCGCAAATATTCTAGTAGGTAGAGAGTAATACGGTAGAATGTTTTGCAGCTCACGTTGTATGGAACCAACATCCACAGTCGCAGGAGTAGCAAATGCATAAATGCTATCATTCTGGACTACTGCTGCTGCATTTGTTACCAATCCGGAAACTGACATAATTGCTTGCTCAACCTCTTCAAGCTCGATACGGAATCCCCGAACTTTGACTTGATTGTCTTCTCTGCCCAAATACCGTACCTCTTCTGATTCTGTTCATACCCCAATGTCTCCGGTACAGTACATCATCTGTTCAGGACAGAATGGATCGCGAACAAACCGAAGTCGGGTTTCCTCCTCATTGTCAAGGTATCCCTGCGAAACCGACAGTCCGCTGATACAAATCTCTCCTGGTAGCCCTATCGGTACTAGTCGTCTCTGAGCATCCAGTATATAGCAAGCAGTTCCTGGAACAGGTTTGCCGACTGTTGGCTCTTGATTTCTTCGAAGAGTAGCAATGAGAACGACGATCGTGCACTCACAAGGCCCATAACCATTGTACAATTTACGGCCATTTACAGCCCACCGATCTACAAGCCTTTGGGTAACTGCCTCTCCGGCAAGAAATATAGTATCAAGATTATTGAGTTCCTCACTTACAAGGCTGGAAAGCAATGATGGTGTTGCCATAGCAGCATCAACTGTGGTGAGATGTGAGAATGGATGGGCCGGATTTTTCAAAACTAGGGTGGCGCCATAGCAGAGTGTGCCGAATATCTCAGCGATGCTGATATCGAATCCAACCGATAGCATTTGAGCATTTCTTCTCCCAGGTTTAGAATGCAGCCTCGACTCCGGGGATGCAAGATAAGATAAGATCGGTCCATGGCTTGCTTTGACTCCCTTAGGATGGCCAGTCGAACCGGAGGTGAAGATCAAATAAGCAGCATCACTAGGCTTGTTTTTTGTTTTCAATCTTGTAGTATCAAGAAGTGGCTCTTTGATAACACTTCTCAAAAACAATGTGCGGGTTCCAGCGATTCGCAGGCTTTCGCCCTAGTCTTCGTAAGGGATTATATATATCATTGCCTTTGCCTGTCGAATAATTTTTTCTCTTCGCTTTGCCGGAAGCTTGGAGTCAACAGGTGCGTAAATACCGCCGGCTTTCATGATAGATAAGACAGTTACAATCCATGACAAAGACCCATCACTCAAAGTTGCCACAACATCATTCGGTCTGACGAATTTAGCAAGATATGCTGCAACATGATTAGCCCTGTTTTCCAATTCCAAATAGGTGAGTGACCCATCATGCGACTCAAGTGCGGAGAATTCTAGCCACTGATCTGCTGCCTGCTCGAATGTGTCTTTTAGGGTTTTCGTATCATCCAAATGAGGTCCGATCTGTGGTGGATACACCAAGCTATCAACTTCTGCTTGATTCATCATTTTGTCGCGGACTTGCAATAAAGTATCTGTCGACTGGTCGATAATGCCATGGATTATATTATGAAAATGCCGTTGCAACCGTTCTATCATTGCCGGTTCGTATTCTTTGGTGCTATACTGAAATCGTGTGAACATTTCACCTTGATCTTTTCCAATCGAGATGGTCAACCCAGATTCCATAAAGGATTTATACTGGAACTTCCATGTTCCAGAATTGATCGGACAGGGGATCTCGGGTAAATCGTATTCTATGGCTACAATCGGATTCAACAGCCAGGAGTTATCACCTGGAATGGATTCAAGATAATCTGCCGCAGACCATTGTTGGTCTATGATTTTCAGCAATCTTTCCTGCACATGATTAAGCAAATCCATCTTGTTCATTGAACCACCTAAATCCACGGGAAAGGGGCATGTATTGATGAGTGGACCGATTGTTTTGTGAATAAGAGGCACGGCTAAGCTGCGTCCTGATATAACGACTCCAAAATTCACCTTGTCATCAGCCAAATAATTTCGAAGAAGTAACGATAAACACGCATAAATGATAACAGGAACTGGCACTTTCAGTCTTCGAGAACTTGCTTCGAGGTTTACAAAAGAGAGCCTGAGTTTCAGGACCTTATCGGGAAACGAAATCATTTTATCTTCCGGTCTAGTCATATCAGGATTTGGCCGTTTTAGACGGCAGGAAGGGGAGTGACCATGGAAAATGGTTTTCCAAAAGTCCGCTGATCCTTGACGCATTTTCTCAACGTATTGACTTCGCTCATGAACGAACTCGGAGAATTTTCCTGGGCAGGAGAGTGCCTTTCCATCGAGTATTGCTTTCAGATCTTCCATCAATATACTCATATACCAGCCATCTATCTGGCTATGATGTACAAGCCACAACAAATTGAAACTTTGTTTGTGATCTCGAATAACTCGAAATGCATCGACAGGTCTAAAGGTCTGCCCGGTGCACGGAGTCTTAGGTAGAGACAACAGCTCATCCATTACGTTACGGACAGTAGATTCAATATCTTTGCTATGGCTCGAAATCTCGCTCCAGTCAATCTCGCTTACTTCAGAGGTCGCTTGTGTGCCTTTGAGAAGATTGAAGGTAGCTGAAAATATAAGGTGCCGCTTCATTATTATGTCCCATGCTCTCTTCAAGCGACCAGCTTCTAAGATTTCGCAGTCATCGCATGATATAGAAATAAGAAGATAATTAGCAAGTGGCTCACGAAGACATGCTTTGATCATGCTTGATTGAACTACCGTCATTGGAAATTCAACTAATTGATGTGAAGAACTGCCAATTTTGCTTTCATCTTGCCGTGTAATGATTTGACTGGTATCAGTGTCAATAGCTTGGGCCAACGAGGCCGTGAGGCGGAGGCTTTGTGAGGAGAATAAATCCACAACAGATAGAGTCAAGTTGTGTTTGTGTAAGTATGATAAAAGCTTCATTGCAGACAGAGAATTGCCTCCCAGGTCCCAGAAAGAACTTTTAGGACATATTTTACTCTCAGGAATACCAAGGGCCAGCGCGACTCCTGATATCAATATTTGCGTTGTTGTTCCTCTTTTGTTATCTATCTTTTGGGGTTCTGGGACATGTTGCAACTGGCTTCTTAGGTATGGTATATCTACTTTTCCATTGTGTGATAGAGGAAGAGAATATAAGGAGTGAAGGATGTCAGGGACAAGGAACGTATCGTAATGTCGTGCTAACCAATTGCGCACCAGGAATGGCTCAATTTTAGGCGCAATAAAAGCCACCAATCGCCCTTCATGTAATAAGGCAATAGCTGCGGTAACACCTTCAAATGCCCGCAGTGCAGGTACCACTTCAGTCTCCAGATTTATCAGAAATCCTCGATTCTTGACCAGGCTATCTTGTCGTCCTAGAAAAACAATTCCATCTCCAGCATTTCGACGGCCAAAGTCGCCGGTACGGTATATTCTTGTTCCTTTCCAATTGATGAATTTTTGTTCTGTCATGTCCTCGTCCTTGAAGTAGCCAATCGCGAGTCCTGGGCCGCTGATGCAGATTTCACCCTCAGCGCTTTCATCGAGATTCTTATCGAGAAGCAGAATCATGCTTTCTTCCATGGGGCTTCCCAATAGTATTGGCTGATCCTGTAAGACCTCAAAGATGCTAGATGAGATTGTTGTCTCGGTTGGGCCATAGGCATTAAAGATCTTCCGATCTGGTCTCCACCATTTCTTTATTAGAGTATGATTAGGTGATTCTCCTCCTAGAAAGATAGACTTGATGTTGGTGAAACTTTCTGGATACTGGATTGTCGCTAAGACTGATGGTGTAATGGGCAGTATATCACATGTCTTCAGGTCGTCTATAAATCGAGTTTGACTAGAAAGTACCAGCTGACCACCATTGCATAGAGTGCTAAAAAGAACTCCAGTGCATGCTCCAACATGTTAGCGCTGCATGTATAGACTCAATTGATTGGTGGCACAACATACCGTCAAATCCAATTGAAAATAATGACACCACCTTATCCCCTGACTTTACGTTCATATTGAAAGGCTTGGACACACCACCTTGCTGCACATAGTTCAAGAGGCTTGCGTTAGAGATCACTACCCCTTTTGGCGCTCCTGTCGTCCCAGAGGTAAAAATGATGTACGCGGGGTCCTCGAGATTCTCATAACCCACGTGGTGAAACAATTGACTTTCTCCATTCCTTTGGCCTAGGACTGCTTCAATCTCACTCTTCAGAACCATATTATCATTCAGTATTGTCCCCGTCTCAGACTCTGTGCTTATCATTATATCCGCGTTGATAGTACTAAGAACTATACGAATCCTCTCAGAGCTCCAGGTGATGTCCATAGGAATGTAGCAAGCGCCGATTTTGGAGATCGCTAAAAGACACACCACCATTAGTGAGCACCTCGATGTAAGAATTGGCACCTTGTCTCTGGGTCGAACGCCTCTGTCGTAGAGAAGGGTCGCAACTCGTGTAGATTGCGTCTCCAGTTCATCATATGATAAAGTGTCGCCGTTATAAGATATGGCAATACTGTCAGGATGAAGATTGGCATGTTGAGAGACCAGGTTGCAGAAGGACTTGCGGTCTCCATAACATCCGGGATCTACTTGCATGATCATTTGGTACATTTTTCGAACAATGTTCGACGATAGGGTACGGGAAGTTGAACGAGAAATATATGAGGCGAGCTTCGTCTCTGGATGTACTGAATTGCAACTCCACGAGAAGGATCACTTTCAGTCTTACATGGATGATTTGTAATAGATGGGCACAATGAATTTGAGTTCCATCATCCGATAATGATTTCTCCATGGCAAATGGAATCCCACCACCCAAATCGTTTCCGGCGTTCGTAGATGTTTCGGAGTTTCAATTCGAATTAAACGCCGAGGGGTACTAAACTAATTGACTGTCTGACAGGAATTTTGAATGTGGCTCATTTTATCTTCAGTAATTCATAGCAATCTTTCAAACTACTCAGTCTCTGTCGGCCATGATGCAAATTAATCCATGGCTCTCTTTTGTCATCTGTGTTGCCATCGTCGCCTTTATTGCGGTCCGGGTAGGAAATGGTCACCCCACATACCCCAATGTTCCAAAAATTACAAGGGGATTTCTGAAATCTTTGATTGACTGGGAACCGACTGCTTTTTTGCGACTTCAGGATTATGAAGCTGAGGGATACAAGAAGGTAAAGTTTCCGTATGGGAAAATGCCAGGCGAGCTGGAAGCTGACCCTTGCTAAAGTTCAATAAACATGGGCTTCCATTTGTTGTAAAACTGTTTGGAGTTAATGCTATGATTATGCCCCCGAAATATTTACCTTCACTGAAGAAATTCGATCGTCATGCTTTAAATTTCGCTCAGCATCTCAATGACGTAAGTGCTTTCTATGCTCTCGGAACGAAACATACGAGAAGCTAATTTTTGAAACTTAGAATATGCAGATGGAGGCTACTGTGGGCGATACTGCAATTGCCAATGATATGGAAATCGATTTAGTCGCAAGATATATGAATCTTAAAAGTGGTAAGTATCTTGGATGAGACTCCATGTTTGGTCAATCGTTGACTTCTCAGGCCCCATAATTGCGCTTCTGGCAGACGAAGCAGAATATAAGTTTAAGGATCAGCTAGGGGAATTGCATGGTTCGTGTTGACCTTGTTGAATGTGTTCAAGAACGTCGACTTCTTGCTAACTTCTCAAGAGATTACCAAACTTTTAATACTTATAGTCTCTGTACAAATCTAGTGCACCACATCTCTAGCAGGGTACTTGTAGGAAAGGAATTCTGCAGAGATACAGAATATAATAAGGTGTGCCAGAAATATACCATGACTGTATTTATTAGCGGTGTGCTGTGGAACTTTCTACCACTTGGTCCGTTCCGAAAGCCCTTTTACTGGCTAGCCTCTGTGAAGTTCCGCTGGGATCTTCGGAGAGTCACAGAGTATATCGTTCCTGCTATCCAGAAAAGAATGGAACAGCGTACAGCACAAGTGATGGATAAACCCATAGATGTCATACAATTTGCAGTGGATCAAACGATAACATCACACCGAGAAAATGACGCCAGACAACACGCAAAGTGTATTATTCATTTGAGTTTCGCTGGTACAGGGACATCTATAAGTCTGGTTTATAATCTTATCTGGAAGATTTTAATGTATCCTGAACATCTAGAACCTCTGCGGAACGAGATTGACCTGTCTCTTCAGCAACACGAAGGATGGAATGACAAGAAGATGCTGAGTTCCCTGAGACTTTTGGATAGTTTCATTAGGGAGACACTCAGACACAACCCTGCAGCCTGTTTCTCAGGACAACGCACGGCAATGGAAACACTTACGTTTCCGGATGGCTTTACCTTAAAGCCGTTTAGTCGGATAACATTCCCGACCCTCTCCACTAACATGGATCCCGATAATTATAAAGATGCATCTACTTTCGACGGCTTCAGATTTGCTGGGCCGGAGTTCTCGTCACGGAGCAAAGGAAGGATTCATGCTTCTGCAGTAGACGAAAAGTTTCTTTCGTAAGTTTGTAACTTCCTTCGAAATCCGATACCATGTATGGATTAACATCTCACTCTCGGTTTCTAGGTGGGGATATGGAAAACAATCATGTCCAGGAAGGTTCTTCGCAGTTCGTCTTGTGAAGCTCGTTTTTGGTCGGCTGATCTACGAGTATGATATTGAATGGGCATCGGAAATTAGACAGTCGCCCAAAGGGGTGGCAATTGAAGGTACATTTTTGGCAAACATGGATGCAAACATCAAAGTGCGAAGTCGTCGCGCAAAGTCATTGTGACCGTAAGAGCTGAGAATTAATACTGCGATCAATAGAAGGTTCAAATCGTTGTCTAAGATACCATGGCTAATTTGGGGCGCCCCCCAAGAAAATTGGGAACATAAGTTGGCGATTGGCGAGATCAAGCAAAATGGAATTCTAAAGGAAATATTATACCGGTGGTCTAAAAGTTTTTTTTGTGAAGACACGCAGCATACCTAAGTCCCAATTCCCTATAAGCTTCAGCTTAGCAATCTTTCTGCTTCCCACTTGAAGCTCAAGCCATCTCAACACAATTCTCGAACTCTCTGACACCCCATCTAAGCCCTTGTTCCAACTCCCACAAGAACTCTCCTCGCTCTCCAGACTCTATCAGCCGCTTTTTGATCCAAATTTCCAAAGATCCAAGTCTATCTGCTCCGCCCTTTTCTCCCCTCCATTCAAAAAATGTCGCTGCGTCCTCCCACCCGACCCTCCACCCCTTTTCATACAAGTCATGCCGAAACTCCTTTCCAGGATCTTCATGCGTCCAATAATCTATATGGTCCTTCACCATCTTCTGCATAATCTCATCCTTCTGCATTTCTGCCTTCGTCAATTTCTCTTTGGCTTCTTCCACAGACCAGCTCATATAAGCCGGAGCAATTATATTCCCCTTCTTAACCTGTTCCACAAACCCCCAACCACCTCCATCCATCCACTCCATTTTCCATGTCCAGAAATAACTTCCCGCACTACACCCCTCCGTCCATTTGTTGCATTGATGCCGTCCGAATTCCCGAGTTAATTCTTCCTTCATAGCAGGTGGAGATTTTGCCCAGCTTTTCTCGTCAAGAACGCAACTGTATTCGCCAATCACAATTTGTGTTTCTCCGCCAGATGAGAGATGTGTGGCGCTTGGGCTACAATTAGGCAGTTCGCCTAGTTCGGTAGGGATTCGATGGATTAGCTCTTGGGCGCTTTGTGAGCGATGCTTCTCTGCAAATGTGTAGTATTTGTGTGTGTCAATGACGACGGGATTGCTGGGAACCTTTCCAGATTTCCAGTCTCGTTCTTTGGTCCATTTCAATGCAGAAGAAAGATCCCATGCATCGCTTATGTAGATGGGCACTTCGGAGTCGATCTCGGAAATAGATTGAATGACGGAGGTGTAGAAATCATACATTCCTTTCTTTCCGGCATCCCAGCATGCTTCGTTACAGAGCTGAATACCGATTACCCCATCCAACTCCTTACATTCTTTTGCGATGAACAAAAGCGCCCTTTTCGCAAGCTCAAGATTCTTCTTAGAACTCCAAAGTTCTGCTTTTCCTGTACTAGATCCCGAATGCATATCTGTATTTGCACCTCCAGGCAGAGCGTGGAGATCTACGAGGACCCCCACTCCAAGAGCACGAGCCCGAGTGATGAATTCTTTGACTATCGTCCAGGAATTTTGATAGACGTCTTTGGCACTCTCAAAGGGTGTCCCGACACAGAATTCTGGTCCGAGTGTAAAATACCCGACTGGTAATCGGATACTGGTTCCTTTTGCCGATTTGGCCAACCATCCGAAAGCCTGATCGGTAACTGCGTTTTTCCAATGTCCCTCCCATTTTTGCCGGGTAGCTTCCACACCATTACTCTTAACAGAAGAAGTTACAGCATCGAGCTCCGAAGATGCACCTCCCACAAATTTAGGGAAGAGCCATGGTTCGAGAACAAAAATTGAACCAAGATTGACACCAAAGTGATAACGATAACGGAGAATATCACGGACAGTGGGCTGAGGGATAGTCGAGGGGCGAGATTGATGAATATTATTAACGGGGCGTGTAGAATCCGAAGGAGAAGTCTGAGAAGAGGATGAACCAGAGCGTATATGATCCTTGGCTCTTTGAACGAGTTTCTTCATCTTCAATCGAATTTTTTTGGCACGACTGCTAAGTTCGGTCATCTTCGCAAGCTGAAGAGACCATCATCTTTTATCGTCAAGAGCATATATACCTACATCATCGAAAAAGCAAGTTTTGTTGGGATCTACGAGACGATCGACATTGCTTTCATTAGGTATGCAAATTTGAGCCTTTTGCGGCAGTTGTGTCTGTTGGTAAAATGGAAGCCAATCATTTCCATGATCTGAGACAGGGAGGCTCTACGTGGCCGAAAAAAACTGGCGGCATTTGACGGCTCTCAATGTCCCTGAATCATAAATCCATTTCAGATAAGGTGTCAAGGCCTGAAACAACCAAACAAAGATTCAGACATTCTCTATTTCGAAAACACAAAATATAAATAAAAATTCCTTCCAGAGGCTGGTCAATCCCGGCCTATCATTTCGGCTAACGTGGTTTATCACCGAGTGGGCCATATCACCGAGTGGACCACTTTCACCTCAATTTACACCTTCAAACCTATATTATTCAACAATAATTAAATCAATTGATTAAAACTATTAAGAATCTAATAATCTAGAATTTATTATATTATTTTGATAGATTCTTATATTATAATCTATCTTTCTGTATTTATTACAATACCAAATAAAAAGTACTTCCCTATTAGAATTTCTCTTTTTTTAACACTCATTATATTAAATCTGAATATCAACCTTTTACTAAAATAATATATCAAAAGCCTTTTATTTAATAAATACTCCTCCTTAACACAATTGGATTTTTTTTATATATCGACATTTACTTAATATCTTATTTGTGTCACGGATCGCACCCAATCACAGCTGCAATCGCTCACGTGCGCGCTTACACATGTGCACAATCATGTGTATATAGCTAGTATATAGGAGCGCTCTACGAGCGCTTTGCTCTTGATTCTGTAGTTATAGATTCTAAGGATAAAT